AATAATATTTATTTTTTTATTATTTATTAACGCAATAATATAATACATTCTACTCGCCACTCATATTTTTGAGCCAGCAGGTTTATAGTTGAGGTGATGCTGCAATAAAAATAATTAGCACGATCTATTTTTGGTATGTGAAATCTATTTCGGGCATTTGAGGGTGTATTACAAGTATATGATTTAATTTTCCAGCTATATGGAGAATCCGAGATGTGCAAATCCGAGGTATATGAATTTGGTTAATTATACTTCTTTTGATATTATACTCCGTCGATGGCTATTCACAGTTAATTCGTAGTGTAGTGCTATCGTGGTTTTATCTCAGTAGAAATTTTTCTATATAACCTATATCCATCGTGGTTAAATCGCAGTTTAGTCGTAGCAGAGTTGCAGGCACGAAGGGTGATCATGTGGACCAATGAACACCTGCGCTTATTAATCGACGAGAAAAAAACTAGGAACATCGAATATTACGATATCATGGGTATTAGTAGAGAGGATTTTTGGAATAGCGTCGCAGATAAGATCTTACACCGGATACCAATGCAAGGGAAAATTCCAAAGTCTCGTAAAAGGCTATAATGTAAGTATTTTGGGGAGGTGGACAACTTATTCTACAATTGTATTTCCAACTATCTCTTACGATGGGGTTATTACTAGTCGATGTACCAGTATATGGCGGGTAGTAGTTCTAAGCAGAATGGGCGAACGATATTTTGAGGATTTTCGTACTCGTTTTTGGGAGAGACCTGATAGGGATATAAACTATTAATAATGATTGGTATTATACTGTAAATTGTAGCGTTAACATAAACAATACTAGAAACGCATTTTGATCAAATACGTAACCTAAATACATCCTCGAGAAGAAAGACGGCGAAACCGCACTCCACCAACCTACGAAGAAGTTTCATCAATGTTAAATATGAGTCGCCGTGAATCTCCCGCTGGTCAAGGGATCGATCCGCATCCCCAACCCGAAGAATTCCTAGCAGAAGAGACGAAACTACTAATTGAGATAATGCAAGTAATGTAAACGATACGGGTGGAAATTCAGGCCATAACGCAAATATTGCAGATGGGAATTCAGGGAATAACACAAATAATGTGGGTGAAAATTTAGGTAATAATACAAATAATATAGATGGAAATTTAGATAATGTAACATACTCATCTTCATCTGAGTTAGCAAATACGACCTCAAACCTTAATACATCTACATCACGGAGTGACAGTGATCTTAGTATGTCCGATGTTGGAGATAGTCAGCCACCTCATATGGAGCCTATAAATGAAGAGGGGGGGGGTTAGATTTCGTCCTGCTATGCAGAATTTCATTTGAAAAAGTAATAAAATTTTAGCACTTTATTCTTGCTCCGCTAAAAATTCTCGAGTTATGCGTGACAAATTATCATGCCAATCACTTTTGCCAAGAAAAAAAAATAAAAAATTTGTGGGACATAATGTCTCAGATAAATCGATTGCATAATATAGATTTCGATCAGACACATAGTGCCATTACTTTGTAATACACATCACATGTTATATCACAGAAGAAAATCGAAGGTCATGGAACTTCTGCATGCATAATCATATGACCTTCTGATTATTTACTATAAATTCTAAATCTGATTAACTAACTCATGCCATATGCATTTTCTTTATGAAAAGTTTTTCATTGTACATATCTACATAGTAAATACTCATGAACTTGCATCGCTCCAGTTTCACATTTCCTGAATCTACTATTTCCATATCTAAATGAGGCCAGAAATGAGCAGAGGGAATATTTTAAAAGAATAGTATATTTATGTTATGATTGTTCATTGCTTTAACTTGTACCTACAATTTTATTTTCTCATATAGTAATAATACTTTTTTACACTTAATCCAGCATGATATATTTAGTATCTAAAATTAAGGCACTTTTATTAGAAGAGCCATTAGATAATCTTTGTGATATATTTGCAGTTTATCTAATAATAGAAAACAATATTTTATCTTCTTTCAAGTATGTAAGAGAAGTGATAGACTATGTAGTAAATTGTTTATCATAGAAGATAGAAAATATTGAACAAAAAATAAAAGTATTGAAAGTATTATCTTAGATTAGTAAAAATTCAGATTATATAATATTAGCTGTGCTAACTCTAGCTAATATTTAATAATGACTCTATAGTAATATAAATATTTAGTTTTGTTATATTATAATTAAAGATTGGAGAATGCTGGCCTGAAAGAGTTATATTTTTTAAATATAAAGAATTTCTGCTCCTCTCTAACTATATCTAATTATTCAATTAAAATAATGTCATTCTATAATTTCTGAAAATACATATTTATAATAATGAATATAATATAACTTATAACTTTGAGATTAACTAATATATCAGTATATATTATTATATTTATTATAAGTTAAGAGTAAATATATTAGTATTTGAGATTTTAAGATGCTTAAGATATTAAATATAGAAAAGAAATTATATTCAGATTGTTTTCAAGAAGAAATATAAAGAATATTAATAAATTATAATATAAACTTGAGGCAAGTATAAAATAATATAAAATATTATTATTCTTAAAACTAATAAAATTATATATTTAGTATTTTATATCAGAAATAGATATAAGACTTTATAATTTGCTTAGATAAATTTTTAAGAATATAAATATATCAAACCTTATATGATATAATTCTGAAGTAAGTATAATTATTAGTGATAACTTATTTATGATAAAAAATCTAGAATATAGATGGAAGAGTACTTTTTTAGAACTATAAGAAAATATAAAATGTGTTATATTCAATTTAATTATGATAAAATATAATAGCTTTATAAGTAATTTTAATAATTTGAATATTTTATGAGTTATAAAAAATACTTTTCATAATAAAATATGAAAAGAGAATATAAATATAATAATAAAAATAATTAAATATATTTTTAGAATATTATTAAGTAACTTTCTAATAAATAATATATATTTTTATATATTATTAGTATACTTTTATCTAATAATATCATGTTGATATATTCTATATATTAGTAATAAGATATGAAAAAATTTCATATTTATAACTAGTATATCTTGCAATAAATAAAGTAAAAATACTTATATTATAAATATTATAATTTCTTTACTTTGATCAGCTTTGAGAGATAATATTATTTACTTAAGTATAACAGAGTGATAGAGTTTAATAAGTAAAACTAGATGAAATATAAGAATAGATGAAGAGTAAATAAAAAAAGTCTGATATTATAGAATTATTAAAATGAAATAAAAAGATTTTAGAGTTAATATATATTAAGTTTTCATATATTATTTATACTAATTTGAAAAAAGTAAATAATAATATAAAATTATAGAAAGAAATATTAGATAGAATATATTTTATAGATATATTATATAGATCAGTCAGAAATCAATTTGGAATTGTAAAATTTCAGATTATTGATATAAACTTGTATTTTAATATTTTAGTAAAGAACTTGAATAATATATTAAAATATTTTTATCTAGATTATTCTGAAATTCTATTAATAATATATATATTATATATTAAATTTCTAGTTTATTTATTATTAATATTAAGAAATATAATGATTATTAATAAAAGCTTATTAACATAAGTATTAGAATAAGCTAATACTCATTTATATTAAAATATTAATTCAAGTTCTATTATTTTATTTTTATTCTATAATTATTAGATAAGTATGGAAATATTATATAAATTATCATATATTTTTATTATATTAATTATATTAACTTTGTTAATAAAGAATTTGAGTTAGAAAGATTATATATTATATTAATATTTTTATATAATGTATTTTATATTGAAATAAAAAAATTTATATATTAATTTTTTTTTAATATAATATATAGATATATAATTGAGTATCAAAATATAATATTTATATAGTCATATCAGAAAATTAATCATATGCTTGTAATATATTTTAAAATAGATTTAATATTCAAAATAAATTATATAATAATTATTTCAGATATAAAATAATATATTATTAATCTTGATTAGTTAATCATCAAATATCTTAAAGAGATATCAAAAAAATCTAATTATTATAAGTTAATAAAGATTTTTGTGTATTTTTTCTTAGTATTTTTTAATGAATATATTTGTTAAAATTTTATAAAATAATTTATATTAATATAATAAAGAATTAAATATATTCATATTTTATAATATATAAAAAATAATAAATAAATAATTCAAAATTAATTTATTAGAAGAATAAATTTTTAAGCTTGTAGCTAAGAATATTATATTTAGATAAAAAAATACTGAGATCAAGTCTGAGAATATTAAATTTAAAGCTAAGAATATAAAATTAAAACAGAACTTGAAAGAATATAAATTCATATTTATAAAACTAAAGTAAAATAATAAAAATATCACTTCTGAAAATGTCAAACTTAAAGCTATAATTGTGAAATTAAAATAAAAATAGTTATAAACTGACAAAAAAAAGTAATTATATTATATTATAAAGTAATAATCATATTAGTTTTGCTAATATTTCTATATCTAAATCAGATATTATTATTTCTATTAAAATAAAAATTCTAATAATATTCTTATAACTAATATATCTAATAATACTTTAAATTCTAATTTATATTAAGAGTCTTTATTCTAATATTCTGCATTTTCTAACTATATAAAAAATAAATTATTAAAAAATAAAAAAATAGATAAATTTATAGATTTAATATATGAAAAATAAATTAGTAAAAAGATAATTCAGAAAATTAGAAAGAAGAAACTTTAAAATTAAGAATTACTCTCAATTTTTAAGAATAATCCTACTAATATTTTATATAAATAAGATTTAATATAAGAAATATTATCATCTATTAAAGATTCAATTTTAGTGAATATATTTATCAAAAATCATATAACTAATAATTTAACTCAGATATATAATAAAAAAGATAGTTTTTTATTTAATTTATCAAATTTATATTAGAAAGCTTATAATACAGAAAAGTAAGTAATTAAAATTAATTAAGATATTAATATTATTATATAATAGAATTTGATAGTCAGATTAAAAATCTTATAAGATCTGATTATATTAATGAAAAAAAAATAAAAGATCAAATTTATGATTTTATTATTATATAACTAAATTCCAAATATAAAAAGCAGATTTAAAAAGCTAAAAAAGTTTATAATTTATTTAAAAAAATAAAAATAGCTAAGATTTAATATATTAAAATCTTTAGTATAAATTTTATTTCAAGATTAAAGATATTATCTTAATTAATTATAACTTGTAATAACTATATGACTTTTCTTAATATAATCAGATAATTGTAATATAGTAAGTTACATGTGATGCAGTATGTGATACAGCAATAATCTGTAAAATAAAATATAAATCTAATATAATTATTTTAATTTATTATAATTATTATCATTATTATTATTATCATTATTATTATTAAGAGTAGTAGTAAGTTATTACTATTATTAAATAAGACTAGTAAGATCAGTAAGAAGTTGTTTGAATTATTTATTAGAAATAAATAATTATAAATAAAATATATAAATATAGTAATATACTAGTTAAATTAGTAAAACAAGAAAAAAGAGAAATTTTACTAAGAAAACTATCTATAACTAAAATAACTCAAGTATACTATATAATTTTATAAGATGATTTTTGTGATATATAATATAATATATGATATAGTAATAATTTACAAGAAAAAATATAATTTGTTATAATCTTCTTAGATAAATTTCTTTTATCTAATTTTAATTTCTTTTTGATAAGCTTATACTTTATAAATTTTTTTAATACTTCAAATAATTTAAAAAATATATATCTTTAAAATTAATATCTTTTAAGTTTTGATTAGAAGTTTTAATAGGAGTTCAAATTTCTTTAATAATGATTTTAATACTATTATTATCTTAATTTTCTTATTATCTAAAAATTAATATATTCTAATTATTATATTATCATATAAAAAATATTATTCTTTTCAAGTATTATTCTTCAAATTCACTTTCAAAATCTTCTTTGATTTATTTTCTTTAGAACTTAATTCATCAAATATAAGATTTTTTCTATTATTATAAATAAACTTAATTAATACTTTTTCTTTTTTATTATTATATTCAAAAATAAGAAGTCTCTTTCTAATATCAATATTAGCTTTAATTTTATTTAAAAAATTCATTTTTATAATTATTAAATATGTTTTAGCTTTAATAATATTTACTTTAGTTAGAATTATAATTTTATTAATATTTAAAAAAAAATTAT